CTTCGAATGTGGTACTCGTTAAACTGTTCAAGAGAAACAAACTATGAGAGATATGGTTCATGTTCCTTAGCAGAAAACAGTTCGCTTGATTGTGCCATTTAAAGGTTTTATTTGAGATTGAGTGCTTGTTCACGCTATAAATATGCCAGACCCATTTTTCGACAATTTCTTCCGTGTAAACATTTTTCTTGTTGCGGCTGATGCTTAAACTAGAAATACCACTATCGGGACAAAGTAATGAATTAACGTCGTTACGACACGTTGGATGAAAGACGTGTAAACAAAATCCTGGAGATGATTGAATGAATCCTCAGAATTTTTCGGAGCTTCTGATGAAATACGTTTTGAAGACTGGGACATGAGAGTGCCGAATGCGATTCTCAAGCATATATTATCCTTAAAATGTCCACCCACTTATTAGCAAGTCCACATCTTAGAAGTTTCCAAAACTGATTTCCCCTATTGGTTTGGGTCGCCAGTGGGCAATCTATGCATTGGAAAACCTAAGCTACTTCAAAGCTATGAGTAGCATGAGAAGACCGACAAAACTCCACTATATGGGGATCTACATAGGTCCCTAGTGGCAAAGATTCCAGACTGCAGACAGAATGACCGTTTTAAGGACGGAAAGATTGATTCAATGCCCTTGTACCATGCACACCCGGTAGGGTCCATTCAAGATAAAAACTGACTGGCTGCCACTTGCGGTCAAGTTGTCTACACTGAATATATGCAAACACTATATACCCCATACTGCATGCAGTCACGGTCGTATACTACATATTATGCACACTGCAAACTAAACAGCAGCGTGCACTATAAACGATGTGCTATTTAACATATATTATGTATACTACATACTATGCTAGATACTATTCAGTACTGTGTTTAGAATGGACACTACAAATGACGTACTTCCATTCGTGTTGCGACTCTCGTTAGATGCAGTCTGATAATGAACAGTAACACCAAACGTACCCAACCCCTTCACATGACACTAATTGTAGGGTCGGTAAGAACTCGAGACAGTCCAATACAGGTTACGCGGTCATTAGGTAAACCTAGTTCTCAAATTTCTACCAACCTTATTTCGTAATTGAACACAAAAGTGAACGTACTTGGAGATTTAAAAATCATCTGCGTACACGAAGAAAGTATAAGAGAATTGGAGCCTTGCTGAGTCTTCTGAGTTTACAAACGAGTGTTTACTGTCACACAGATACCCATATTCTGATTTAACGAGCTACCTACGGTGTTAAGGGGTAGATTGGGAATTACTGGGCTAGTTATATTATGGATGGTATGCTGGATATGAATAGGAATAGGTGAGTAACAAGTATACAGCATAGTCTATTGTCCACACGCAAGACTTTACACAACACTAACAAAAAATAGGGCAGTAAACAACAACTCTGGTCACCTTCAGCCTTTTCTTTTGCGAGTGCTGAGAAGATTTGGAACCAGCCGAGGAGGGACGTGGAGAGTAATGCATTCTCAAATGCTGAATAGGGCCCCGCAAATGTCTCCGCGCGCCATACCTCTGATAGTCTCTGATTCGGCGAATATTTTCTCTTATGTGATCTTTTCCAACGAATGCTAAAGAATCAAAGCAAGCACGATTGAAATGAATTGGTAAGCACGTGCACAAACAGCAGCGTTTCGATGTACATTGATCTAGTGAATTGCGAGGACAGATAAACTGTCACATATTGAATGGTGTATCCCCCCAAACTGTTCAGTCTATGGTTGAGCATACAGCAATGGCATACAGACAGGTTCCCTCTGGCTTACTGAGTTCAATGGTTTTAAAGTTGGATTGGAGACACTTCGCACTTTGCCTTTTGAGAAACGAAGGTAAGCGAGATCGCCAAAAAGACGACGTATTTTTTTCGGTTAATCGTCACCTATGGACTCTAATTCACCAAAAATATAAGGAAGAAGGACGGCATCTATGTTGCTAGGAAGGTTGGTATTACTCACTTCGGACTTTGCGGCGATAGAGCGGACTTCCCGTGAAAGGGGTGGCTAAGATCTTTTTGCATGAATGATAAAGTTTTAGTGACACTGTTATGTTTGGCCAGGTGTAAGATGGTAATTAAGCCCTTTATAAAACGAATGAATTGGATGTTCGGTAGAAGCATGCATCCGTAAACAAAACATACGAAATAGCCTACACAGCGAGCTGTGTTAGCTTCTACCTATAGTAAACGTGTGGTCGAATTCAAAAAAGCTCAGCTACGTGAGGACTTTCGTTCCTCTTGGAATTCACTAGGTGGACGTGAACTAGTCGATCATATGTTTCTATGGCTTCCAGTTATAAGACGATGACCTCAGAACAAATCAACTGTCTTGTACTCCTGGCATGAATACCTGCTGTGTTCAGAACCAAAAATGAGTTTTCTGTAGGATGAAGCCTTCGGATATACCAGCAAACTACTGTATTTATTGAGAATAAGATAAACATCGACTTATTGTGCGTTGTTTTTAAATTTTTTTGTTTCGTTACATTCAATATGCAGTTTCAGTGTGTACAAGTCACCCTACGCCTCATCAGCCGCATTCGGTCGAAGTACGGGTGAAATCAATCATGGCCGGACGGTTTAGTCTTCAGCTACTAGCCTGGAGATCATGAGTCCGAATCACCCTAGAGATTCATGAGATTCACACAATAAGGATGAAACAGCTGTAAAGTGCTCCTCCCTCGGTTCCGAATCACCCTAGGATGAAACAGCTGTAAAGTGCTCCTCGGCCCGTTACCACGGATCCACATCATTTTCAGGACAACGTCTCAACTAGAATTTTCAAGTCTCTTCATACTACCAACCAACGCAGAACGCAGAGGTAATGTGTAATCAAGTCAAAGAGAGTCCAACAGTAACCCGTGGTGAAGCATCGGAATAGGTTGCTCAACTCTATAAGCGATAGGCACACCTGGTTCATTTGCAAAAGATGTTGCAGATGGAGTGTTTCTGATAAACCATCACAGTGGGAACATGAAGGCAACTCTTGTGGACACAGAGATCACACTGAGACATTCTCCGATGCACTACTTTGGGTGAGAGCAGCAGAAATTACACGACATAACAGCGTGTAACAGGTGGTTCAGTTCTATCCCCCCGAAGCCGTGCTTAGCTCTTCTTAGCTACTTCTTAGTAGCCAACTACTCGGTAAAGAGTAAAAGGCCTGAGAGTTATGCCATGGCGATACTAGTAGCCAACTACTCGGTAAAAAGGCCTGAGAGTTATGCCATGGCGATATGGGGATGAAAAAACCAACCAGAAGGTCAACCGCAAAATCAAACTTTCAGTTGGTGATGAACAATGCAAACCCAAAAGGATTAAGAGTTCGCTGACAAGCAATTTTCAATCCAGATGACGGAATCTTATCGGGTCAGTCACACAGAACAACTGGGACGATTCAGTTATCTTGAAGGTTTTAAGTAGGTGACGAAAAATTGGCGTCGATTATTATTGATAGAAAAAAAGCCTTCAACACTTGAATACATTTTTCCTCATTCTGTGGTGCATCCAGCTAACGGAAAACATATCTCGAGGGGGAATCTGTTAGCCTATACGGACCTGATGTTTAGGGTGCGCCTAGTGTCCACTACCGGAGTGGTGCAGTTGTTGCACAGCGTAGTAACACGTTTAACTCTCGGACTGGATCCTCGGAGCCCCATACAGCCGAGGATATAAATTGCCAAGTAATGCCAAAGAAGATAGGACTCGAGCTGGGTGCTTATAACAAAGGCTACCAAAGGACGGAAGCAGTAAAGGACCTCACTGGTGAGTAACTAAAGGTGCTACGCTATTTCTTGTCTGCGTGAATAATAACCTGCTATCGACTCAAGCCCCTGAATAGACTCATGCCAAGAAACTGAGTGACATTGTATGTATGATCAGGATGCGTCTCTTGCCCTAGTTAGCATACCACCATTGCATGTAACTACGGCAGATATAGTCATCTTGCGTGGATTCAGAATGATATTATTCATGGCGATTTAGTCAAGCAACAAACCCGAGGCTGTAACTGGTCGATTAGAATGTACAGAAGACGTGTTTGATTCCCACTGAAGGATGCCAAGGTGCTCGAAGGGATTCAGAAGCTTTTGTTGTTCGTGAAGGATTGGCGCATCGAAGTAGACCTCGTGGGTAGGGATTGGACCAGAAACGTTTGAAATCATGCTCTAGAATGAAGTGACGGTTGAGAGGGAGGAAAATGAAATTCTAGGTGCTTAAAAGCAATAAAAATAAGGTTTGCCAAAATGAAAACCAAACAAACAAAAGTAACATGATGCCCACATTGCATAAATGAGTGCAGTAAATGTGAGTTGTTTGGTCTTCCAAACGTCAGTTTCTCTTGACTTCGATAAGTCTAAGACATAAGGAATCTTCCTTTAAACCCACAAGATCTCGAAAGGTCATAAATGTACCTTTTATAAAATGCGAACTGCACCAAAAGTAACACGGTTGAGAGAATCGGACACAGTCTTTGATCATGAATTAATGGTATCATGGCAAACAAAAAATTCACCAGAATGAAAAGAGAGCCACGGTGATCATGATGAGCTCGGCGGTAGATCGGCTTCGTACCAAAACCAACGATATTTGTGCTTGGTATTCAGAGTGTCGACTGAGTATCAGAAGCTCAGACGCCGAATTACATAAAGGCACAAGCTTTCCTCCGAACACACCAATGCGAAGTGTCCGACAGTATGATGGCATTCGAGGACAGATTTTTGTCAAACCCGATGCACTTTCGATCATCCTGTGGTCTGCCGACTTGTCAAGTTCACTGGTGGCCTCTGGGCTCAAAAGTGCTTGTTGGTAGCATAAAGGAAGTACTTATTAACTTTGTGAATGGTTTATTAGAACAGAAGTGTCACGCAAGGTCTATTAGGGTGTTTTTACAAGCCCTTTTATAAATTGGTCATTACGCTTGGAGGTATAAGTGACTCAAGCCGATGTCCGCAAAACACAAGGTAGTTTCTAAATATTTCACGTATGGTTGATGGGGATGATGATTTCAATCCAAGCAGTGAATGACATTTTTCGTAAACGTCTGAGTGCTGAATTTATCGATGCGAATATTAAGTCTTGAGACTAAGATCTAAAGTGTTTTGGGAGAAGTTGAAAGAACGTCATAACGCATTCAAGTTTGACGACCGCGCACGTTGCAGGACGTAATGTTATTTTCACAATGAAGTTAGGCGCTGTCAGGAGGGTTTCAGAATAGTTCCGGAAAATAGTCTCACAATGCCCGAAAACTACTGAGACACTCAAACCCCACCAAAATCGCAGTACGGAAGCTGTCGAGCATTCAGGACAGAAAAGCTAGCTTCAGACTGAACGCTTGAGCAGTCGACCAATTCAGAAACGGTCGACGAGTATTCAAGCATTTTACAGTAACGTAATCGATGATAGATGTTCGCGCAACGCCGATGAGACAGCCTGGATCAAGATCAAAAGCGCACTTTGAATACCGCGAGGTCCCTTGTCAATTTTGCACTCGTTTTTTCACAAGAAAGGTGATGTATTCCCTATTAGCGAATCTTTTTCCGACACCAAGACACTAGAGCAGGGACTGCAGTTAGTTACAATGGGTGCATTAAGTCCTGGTTAGTTTTCACTTGATTGCTAATAGCACACTTTCCAGTAGCTGGAAATGAACTTAGCAATAGATGACCATCCACCGAGTTGTTTGTGTTCAACCAAGGATGCATTGTCATCGGCACAGTTTACTCCTGAGTCAGTCTCCAAGCTGGGCGAAATTTCCAACAAAATAACCTAAATCACATTTAAATGCAAAAACCGAGCACATGGTGGGTTCAGGCTCCATATTGACTATGGGGTACGGAACACCAATATGGCTGCCTTTTTCAATTTTTTCACCTTAAAAATGAGGAAACTCAAATTTGAACACATCATCCAACGGAACTCCGTCCACTGAATTATTATTATCGATGTCGATTTGATGTACTAAGAACTCGTATAAAACCACGCTGCATGCTGAGGAACTACGGAGGGCCTCAAACTACTTCATTAAACCAAACGGTAACAGCAACTGGTCCACACTTGGCATGCACAGTGCATTATCATGATACCAGTGCTCCCTCCCATTCCTCATCATTATTAACTGACGAGTTGTGCTATAGATGCGAGGCATACAATAAACAACCGGATCGCCTGGACCAGGGTAGATGCAACGTCTACCTGGGGTTGTTTTGTGAACAAGGATAAGGGGTACTTACGCTGTGGGCTGGCCAGTTGGTTTGCAGGCTGGCAATAAATAACCATTCAGCTGTAACACCCTTTCGGCGCATAGCTGCCATGCCACCCGAAAGGAGAATGAGGGCTGAGGAACTGCCAAGTTACCCAAGCCTAGAACGATCACACGTTGGGCTCGAACCGCTGACCTTCCGGTCAGTGAGTTTGCGTATTAATCATTCAGCTATCTCGAGCTAAAAAATGTCTCCATAGTCTAAAAATCAGCACACAAAATACGCCAAAACACCACACTGATGCAATACAATTAATACAGATTGGCCAATTGTCAAAATTGGAGTTTTCGCAATGATCTTCTACTTCAGATTGAAGTTTTCCGCATACTACTTTCGAAATTCCAGTATGCGTCGTGGGGCAGCTCACGCGGAAAAAGCGTGAAGTACGCTGTGCGAGTTGTCAACCTTGCCAATGAATCGGTATTTTGCCATGAGTCCGAAAACATGCCTTTCTGTTACAGGCCACTACTCATCGACATTTTGTATTCAAGCAGTGAGCATCCTCATTGCCACTATAACCGCGCCACCCATTCAGCATCACTACCTGTATTCTGTCACACTGTGTCAGATGAAACCGGTTAATCTTAGGAGCTCGACAATGTCGCAGCTGTTTCTTCCGTTTTCAGTGGCCTCAGTCTGACGGCTGTCAGCACCGGCCTTGTAACAATCACGGACGCATCAATCGTGTGGTCTGTACCTCATTCGCGCAGGTAGTGAGACCATCGAGCATTGTTAGGGTTCTCCAAACAGACACGCAGCTGCCATACGTTCCTCAGAACAGTCAACATCGCTCCAGTGATTTTCAGCAGGCCTTGTCACAGTGTGCCTGGTGCATACGTTATTTATGGACTCGTAAGAAAGCGCACAAGGCTGTGTTTCAGTGCAGACATTGTAAGCACTTGTCACAGGGTTGTCTATTAGTGTTCGAGTGTTCCAAGGGCACGCACAGTACGGTCTCTGTGTTGCGAACGCCGAGAACTCAACAGATGTTTTTAGTGGGTATCGGAGTTTCTGATAGCGAATCATGATTCAACTGGTTTACTTAGAACAGTCATTTGACATCCCTCAGAGGTTCCTCTATTACGGATATTTTGCCGAATTAGAGTATGTTTGAAACAC